ACAACTTAATAATTTGAAATATTTTTTTAAAATTCGAAAGTATGAATACTTACTCTAAAAGTATGGATACTCTAAATGTTAATAATAATGTATCCATAATAATAAATATATCCATACTTACTCTAAAAGTATTGATATTTGCTAAAGTATCGACCATCATATCATAGTAGTATCAGTATTTATTTTTAAAATAATAGTCATCCAAAGATACATAATATATTAAATCTTATCGATATTATTAAATGCAACTTTAATATTCCAGATTACAACCTACTCCTTTATTCAAAAGAACATTATTAGGCCCAACCTAGTATGTTAATATTTATTTACAATAAAATAAGAAATTAACCTATTTTGTTGTCTTAAGATTTCGAAGGATCCATCAGCTTAAACTTTGATAACATTTTAGGCGCTACCTAATATGTTGATAATATTAATAACAAAAATAAGTAATTAACTTATTTTGTTATCGTCGGATTTCTAAGGCCCCATCAACTTAAACTTTGATAATATTTTAGGCGCTACCTAATATTTTGATAATATTAATAACAAATTAAGTAATTAACCTATTTTGTTATCGTCAGATTTCTAAGGCCCCATCAACTTTTAAAAGACGCTACATATTACATTAAATAAACACTACTTGTTATGTTATTATGTTTGTTATTGTTTCTAGTAATTAACATATTTTGTTATCGTTGGATTTTTAAGGCTCCATCAGCTTAAACTTGGTAACATTTTAGGCGCTACCTAATATGTTGATAATATTGATAAAAAATCAAGTAATTGACCTATTTTGTTATTGTCGGATTTCTAAGGCCACATCAGTGTTAAAAAGGCGCTACCTATTACGTTCATTAGCGCTACCTGTTATGTTATTATGGTTGATAATGTTTCCAGTAATTAACCGATTATGTTAAATTCAATATTTTTTTGGCGCATTTTGCATACGAAGATAATATTCCCGGTTATTACCATTATTATCACCAACACAAATAACATTTTCGGTGAAAACATATAACATTTCCTGTAGCGCTTTTAACCGGTCACCTATTTAACCAGTCGCGCCGTTTTTTAGCCGTATATTAGTCCACCTCACAACAGAACCTCCCTGATTTTAAGAGTGCAAGTCGAAGGATTGAGTCCTTTGGTGTCAGCAATTGTCCATCCGATATGTAGAACCAATATTTTGATATAACAAATAAGGGCAAAAATGTTTTTGGACTTAATTGAATTTGTTCAAACATTGCAAAATAATTCAAGTTTTTAAGATTTTAAAAGGTGAAATTAGAAAATTTTTGACATGGTTTCGAAACCACCTAAGGTGGTTTCCAAAAATTATGAAACCCCATTAGATAGTTTTAAATACAGATCTCGAAACCCCATTAGATAGTTTCGAAACCCTTGTGTAGAATTGCAGATTTTTCAGCTTCCAACATCTCCAAATCATTCCCAACGGGCTAGAAAAGACTAGTAACTCATTCCAACATATAAAAACAAGTTCAAGACACTTGAAGAAGGTGACACAACACCTATCCAAGCATTGATCATCAAGAGAAAGTTTTTCACTCTTTTATTCATTTTTCTCTTGTAAATAGTATATTTTTTAGTGAGCTTAAATTGTAAACATCTTCCTTTGAGAGGTTTCTTGTTTACACTCTTTTTATCCTTTGTAAAAGGGGAGTGGTTCTATCTTAGCCATTGAAAAGATAGGAAAATTGTAAACATTACTCTTGAGCCTAGAAAAAGAAAGAACAAATTAGTGAATTTGTTAGAAATCCTTAGTGAGGAGCTAAGGTAGTGGATGTAGACTTCATTGAGGAAGTTTAACTACTATAAATCATTGTGCAAATCTTTTCTATCTTATCTCCTTATTTTTCTAAATTTTCAAAAAGCCAATTCACCCATTCTTGGCATTTTTCGTTTGATCGACCGACCACAACATGATCGGTTCTTTATACTCCTTTAGGACTCGAATCAAATCCTCTTCTTCCTCTATGGAAAGTTTGTTTGAGATGATGACTGGAAAAATCACTCCCTTTCCCAAAATCCATACTTTAAGTGATATGGTAATTTTTTCAACTCAATTTCTGGTGCCTACAAAATTGAAGGTAAAAGCTTAGTTTTCCAATGAGTTAGGCGCAAATTCAAATCAACATAAGAAATATTTTCTAACTCCCTTGACTCATCAGCTTTGTCATCTAAATCCCTGCACATATTATCAGAAAAGTTAATTTCAATGTATTTGTCAAAAATAGGCTAAAAATATCAATAAAACTAACATTCACCATAGAGTCAGGATATTTCATGACTTTATAAACATCAAACTTCACTACTTCACCGTCAAACTCCATAGTGAGTATTCTGCTTCGAACATCAATTTTTGTTTGAGTCGTACTCAAGAATAGTCTTCCGAGTAGAATTTCAAAAGAATTGTTGGATCAATTATCCTCCATATCGATGACGTAGAAGTTGAATGGAAATAGTAAATCATTTATCTTTACAAAGAGATTTTCAAGGACTCATTTTGAATACACCACCGATCTATCTGCAAGTTGAATAGCTACACATGTTTCTTTCAAAGGCTCAACACTATGTAAATTATAAATAGAAATAGGTATAACATTTATTGAAGCACCTAAATCATACATAACTCGTTTTATACCTACCTTACCGATTTTACAAGGAATAACAAACATACCTTGATCCTTGTACTTATATGGAATTTTATGTTGAATGATGACAGAAACTTTTTCGCCCAAGTTTACATTTTCATTCCCGGTAAGCTTTCTTTTGTTCATGCAAAGATCCTTAAAGAATATGGTATACCGTGGAACTTTTTTATATCATCAAGAAGGGGTATATTAATTTTGACCTTCCGAAAAGATCAAGTATCTCATTCTCCTCGATTTGCTTGTCGTATTTCACTAATCTTGTCAGAAATAGAGGTGGGACGGTATAGGGTGATGGAGTGGATGGTTTCGTTGGTGGTTCTGACTCATTCTTCTTCTTTTGGGACTGTGCGCATACTTTCTCTAGAGTTTCAGTCTTGACGACAATGCCACTTCGAAGGGTGATGACACTTGTGTTTTACCTCGGACTAGGCTCGATTTATGACAGTAACTTCTCTTGAGACTCCAATCGTTCCAAAGTTTGTTCCAGTTGACTTATCTATTTATCATGTTCCTGTAATTGAACTTTAGTTAAATTTTGAAATTTCTTATAGGATATCGTAATATGTTATACAATTGACTTAAATGACGGCAAAACCAGCAACAATGGGATGTATCCAAACAACATCTGAAACCAAATTCACCAAGCCGGCACAAACACAACATAACACTACAACACCATAACTACATCAATTTTCAACCCAGCTCTCAAACAAACGCAGCACCAATGAACAACCACCAAAAAAAATCACACCCCGACTAAGATAAACACATCAGCAGACCATTGGAACAAAGACCACTCAATTCTAAACCCTGAAACTAGTGCTGGAAAATCACGCAAACTAAAGACATAAAAATCCCAGAAAGAAATAAGCCTTGCCGATACACCTACAACAATGCAAAAATAGGATGCCAACTGGACCACCCTATAAACCTTATTTCTGCAGAAAATGACACAACAACAAAATATATACCTGCAACAGCTACACTTGCTTTGTTCAATACAATAACTCAACTGATGTCTCTCAATATAATAATATCCACAAACCACTAACAAAGCACGATGAAATCTGCAAGCACCAAACATGTTGCCAACATTCCACTACTGAAAAGATTCCTCTGACTTAGCGCCTTGAGCTACCCATCCCCCATACCACCTTACTCGGGACTAGTATCTTCTGCACCTTCCTCTATGAAGCCAAAAGCGTCCACAATAACATCGGCAACTACAAGCCATGCTCCGCCATCGACCAAGGATCCTACAATGAAAGCACCATCCTCACAACATTGCTGAACTTCCAAAGGAAAAAACTCCCAAAAACACATAAACTGCCAGTACTCTCAAACCAGGACTAAGTAGCCCATCAATCGACACTATGGGCACGACGAATAAACAATTAGAACTGCCAGTACTCTCAAACCAGGACTAAGCAGCCCATCAATCGACACTATGGGCACGACGAATAAACAATTAGCGACATCACCTCATTTCCACAATCAGAAACACTAAACCAACATCTTCAGCAGAAACCTCCTGCAACCTAGGACACAACTATCTAGGCAAAGCAAACACAACAGCTGAAGGCGAAAGAGAGGTAAAGACTTACGAACGAAAACACTCACTCAAATCAAGCCAATAGACGAAGAAAGGTAACAACGGCACCGAACACCGACCTTGATGCTTAAAAGCATACCTAATAAAAGGTAAAAACAAAAGAAAACTAAAGAAAGAAAAGAATCGACGGCCAGCAACCAGCCTTGAGGGTTGGTGCCGCCGCCACCGCCTATAGATCTACTAGGAACAAAAGACGAAGAAGAACCTTACTTAAGATATAGTATCTTATCACATTAAACCAACTAGTTGTTGGTCTAGAAATATTTTTTTTGTTTATATGCTCATTCTTCTGGGATTCACTGTCCTTTTATGTTTTCTTAACAAGAACAATGAAGGCTCTTTTTCAATCCTCAGCATTTAAGTGGAAATTGAAACAGGCGCATATGTACGTGCTGATTAAAATAAGATCTAGATTTTTCATCTACTCAGAAATGCAGTTGCTGCAAACCATGAAGAAAACATCTTTCTGCATTTGGTTTTGATCAGTATGGTATGCCGCTGCTCATTTGGACGAATAACTCCATCTTTACACATTATCTATTTCTCTGTGCTGGATTGTATTCACATGCATGAGAACTATATAGGAAAAGAATAATCCAGCATAAATCCAAAGCCCCAACTGTTGTCGATAGTAGTAGAAAGGACTACATCGAAGCATATGAAATAAAATCAAATGCTTAAATTTTAACTGCAGATCGGCGGGCAAAGCAGGTGTTTCATGAAAACTTTTCAACCTTTAGTTGGATTCTCGAGGCTACAAAAGATACACCAGCCTGTATTACAAAAGGCAGTCCTAGTCTTTGCCAAATGAATGAGCATTCTAATATCCTCTAAATCCTTATATTTTCCTTTTGAAATATTAGGAATGTTTTAACTAGTATCAACGTAGTCTCCATACAAGAACCCAGAAAGACAATCTGGTTTCAAGCAATAGAATTTTGATAAAATCGGTTTCTAATTGTTTTTCTTGGGGTTCTGGAGTGAAAATACCGGTTGACCATCATGACTCGTATCCCTTGCTTCCACTGATTTAGAGAGGTCTAGGGTTTCACCTTCAGGCTCTCCAGGAGCATCCTTGGTGCTTTTGGGTAGTTCATGGGCAACGTTTGTGTAAGAACCATCTGCAGAAGCATTTTTAACCAGGCTTTTGTACATGGTGAGAGCTTGGGCAATCATGTTTGCAGGATTCGCAGTAGAACTAGGAAGCAACATCGTTGTGCCCTAACAAATAAGAAGAAAGGACAAGTTCAGGCAGAAAGATAAAGAGTGAATAAAACCTTGATAATGAATTAATACTGGGAACAGGTGTATGGCTGCATGCTATCCCCTTTTTACCTCCTTGGCAATATTACTGAAGGCGTGAACATACTGCTCTGCAATCCTCAAACTTGCTGCCTGCAAAATAAACCATAAATTTTAGTCCCCTCTTAGTAATAAGCATGACTTTTCATACCTCTTGTCTACAAATGTATTCAGCCTTAAGAATTCATGACTCATATAACTCAGATCAGAAATGCCAAGTATACGCATATAGGGTTTATTCCTTAAAACAACAAAATCTGTTTGGCAGTAGTACCTCATATTCAACTAGGGTTCTCTCTCTCTTACTTGCGATTTTCCTCCTAGTGCATTCAAAATACAAGGGATAGACTGAAAATCTCCTAGTTCAAACAATTAAACCTAGCTTCAACAGGAAAAGACCAAAAAAACCTGCAAGTCTTCAGTTTGTTTCCCTATAACAGAGCAAAATCCAGACAACCTAATTAGGCATCAAGTCATTAAAGCAAACAGCCGGCATGGAAGTTTCGGGACTCTTAGAAAGAGTATTTGACATTTACAAGTATCATGATGATCCCAACATGTTTTCCAATTACATCATAGGAAATACATGATACCTTATGGGTGCGTTTGGCTAAAAGATCATTACTAGGGATAATAATCTTTTCCGGAATCATATGCCAACAATTGATTTGCTCTCATTCCCACGAGGGAAAAAATATTACCAACAATCGCACTATTTGAATCCTTTACTAGAAAAGTGCCCTCATGGGAATCATATGCCCCCGTTTGGTTTGCCCTCATTATCAAATGCACCCTAAAAGTAGATAGGAAAATCTTATTTGGATCCTTTAATAGTTTCAGGAATGATAGAAAAGTTAGCACCTAACATTTACATATGACGAGAATGATGGAGGAATCTCACCTCAACTCCCCCATTTTCCTTTAAGGATTGTGACACCAAGGCAATTCCTTTAGCTGTAGCTTGGGCTCTAGCAAGGATGGCTTCCGCTTCACCTAATAAATGCATTTGTAAAGAAGAAAATTTTGAAGACACGAAGACATGAAGAGAAATAATAAAAAAGGGGCAAGAACAATAATAGAATCACTGCTTGATCAGTTAGTGTTGTCCATAAGAGGAGAGTTCCAAAAAGACATAACCAAAATTAGTTACCCACATCAAAGTCAATTACAATTCATATAAAGCCCGGCCAATTTTTATTGTTATGACTGCTTACAAGTAATGATCACTAACCTTGTGCTCGGTTAACCTGATCCATTCTTGCTGCTTCAGATGCTAATATCACAGAACTTTTCCTACCTTCAGCAATATTTATGTCGGCCTGTCTTTCACCTGTTAAAATTAACTATTATGATTAGATCATCTTGTCTAAATCATTTATTAAAAGAGAAGATGCTAAAGTGCCATTAATTACTACCTTCCCCTAAAAGGAAAAATAACTATTACGGCCTTACCTTCAGATTCAAGAACTTGAGCTCTTCTTTTACGCTCTGCTTCTGCTTGCATCTCCATAGCTGCTCTCACCCCACGAGGTGGAGATATATCCCCTGGGTTGACAGTGAAGTAATATATAAATGATATATTGTTAACATAAAGAATTCCAGGAAGAAAATAAATGATAAACATTACTCACTTATCTCATAACGGAGACATTGAAGGCCCCAGTCTTTTGCGGCAACATTGATGGACTCCTGCAACCCTCATGTCATTCCAAAAGAGTCATCATCCTTTCCACTAATCTTTTTTTTTGGGGGGGGGGGGGGCGGGGGGTTGTGATTTTTGAGACATTGATGAACCAGAAAAACAAGTACAGGATTAATACAGTATCTTTCCAACTTTTTCCACACCACCATAATCACGTGTCATTGGAAATTATCAGAGACATTGAACAAACTAACTAAAAGAATTATCACACATCAAGCATAAACTTACCAGAGAAGGCACACAACAAATTTGACACAGATGTTAATCATGAATACAAGTTAAACAAAAGGTAAGTAGGGCAGTTATTCTTAATCACTCCTCTCAAACTGTTAACACAAATAAGAATAAAGAGTTTCTGCCTATTTTCTTCTTATCCCATTATTGATATATAATCATAATTGTATTATAAACTCAATTCATCCTATCTTGGGCTGATTCATCAAATCTATAGTTAAATTTCACAAAGAAAGAGAAAGGAAGAGAAAATCAAAGAAAGAAAACGAACCACAATCTTTTCGTTGAGAGTATCTCTCTCTTCGAAGGTCTTGTCGAGGGTAATTTTACCAAGCTCGCTACGCATGGTAGTTTGAGCAAGCTGAATGACGGCATAGATTGGGTTCTCAACGCCGTAAGAGGCAAGCTTGGGATCCACAATCTACAAAGATTCCAAAGCAAATATAGACCAAAAGGTTTTAAAGATTGAACAAAAGGGCAAAGAAGAGGAGGTGGAATGGAAGAAAGACCTTGACATATAAAACGCCATCAATGAGAATGCTGACATTGTCTTTGGTAATAGCGGATTGGTCCGGGATTGGAATAGCCTCTTCCTTGAGGGAATGAACGTAGGCAATTCTATCCACGAATGGGATAAGGAAATGTATTCCAGACGGAAGCGTTTTCAAGTATTTCCCGAACCTTTCTATCACGTAGGCCTTTTTCTCCGGTACGATGCGAATGCCCCAGTTTAATGGAGCTGCAGTCTCGTACCTAAAAGAATCGAGCAAAAAGTTGAAGCGAGAATTGATGTCTTTTCTTTTTTGGGGTTCTAGAATAGAGTATAATTATACGAGTTTTAATCTACCTGATGGCAGGATCACGACCGGTGCGAAGGAGACGGACGGTGGTGGAGAACGGCGGCGAGGAGAGACGCGGAATGGAGGAAGAACGCTGGCGGATAACCGCGGTGGAGAAGGACGACTGTTGGAGATATCTAAGGGCGTTGTGCAGGGAATTCAGTCTGCAAATCTTAGCCATTTCAATGCTTGGCTATTTGCAAATCTTATTTATTTCGGAATCGGATTAATTCTATTTCTACAACTGTTTCTTTCCAAATTTGTTTTTCCAGTCCCCTAATCAAGAAAGGCATGTAAAACCTTCGGATCGAATTGGAAAATCACTCTCATTCTTTCTGCGAGTCTATGTTCTTTCCCCCGTGATCATTGAGCGAGCCGGGCTTTGTTCCATTTCCGCTAAGGCCCAAATTCAATGTAGCATTTATTTAAGGGATAACTTTTATTAAAATGAAAGAATGTTTTATTAAAATTTTATGATTACTAAATTTAAAAAAATAATAGTTTTCAAATATTTTTATTTTTTAAATATTTTAAAATTATTGTTTAAAAATGTGATAAAAGTGAAATAAACAATTTTATGGTGAATGGAATACCCTCTGTGCTAGGGTTTTGTGTCGTTTGTGATAGGGTTTTGTTGTATGTGATAGGTGTTCCGCCGTTTTTTTTCAGTTCTTAGTTTTCTGATTAGTGGTAGTATCTGAGGTGTTCTCATCGTTCTATTTTCTGCTAGTTTTTTTAGTGATATTTCTGCGTTTTGTCTCGATGGGGGACATTGAAAAAGAGATTGAAAATATAAATTTGGGAGATGAGGTGGATGAACTCTTGGTTTTGCAACCACCAGAATCAGACTTATCAATCTCTTTTGATCATTTTCTTGTGGGACGCTTCCTTACGTCGAGGTCTGTGAATTTTCAAGCCATGCACGTTACTCTAGCGAATGTGTAGAGGCTAATCGGAGGTATTGCAATCACAAAGTTAGGTGAAGGACATTTTTTGTTCCGTTTATTTCATGATGAGGACGTTGATTGGATAGTAACGGAGGGTCCGTGATATTTTAGTTCCCATATTTTGTTGATTCACCGCCTCAAACCGGGGGAGGATCCTATGACAATGGACTTATAATGGGGTGAGTTTTGGGTGATAGTGAATGATCTTCCAATCGGTTTCATTTCGGAACAAGTGGCGAAGCAGTTTGGGAATTTTATTGGCAAGTTTATTGATTATGATGCCACTATTGTCTCATTGGGGTATAAAGGTAATATTCGGGTGAGAGTTTGAATGGATGTTGGAAAGCCGTTGAAAAGAAAGAAGCGAATTGTGCTGTCGAATGGTGCTTCCGTGTACGCTAACTTTCAGTATAAGAAGCTTCGGCTATTTTGTTTCTTGTGCGGTAAGCTGGGGCATGGGGAAAAATTCTTTCCACATCGGATTTTGAAGGAGAAAAAGGACTTGATTCCTCAGTGGAACGTTTTGATCCGAGCTCTGACTTTGAGACGTGTGATTCAAACAAGACCTTGGCTACGAGACGATTGTGAGGTTGTTGAAAACTTGACCACAAATAGGGAAGTGGTATATTCTACATCATCTACTGGGACAAATAAGGGTGAATAAACTAAGGCGTAGGTCGAGGGAGTTTTTCCCGGCAAGGGAAATGCTCAAAATAATGTTGGAGATATGGATACTGCTATGGTTGCAGCTAAGGAAGAGGAACCGGTGGAAAATGTGGATAGTGCTAAGAGAATGAGTGGTCCGGTAACTTTGCATTTACAGAATTAAAATGATACTGGAACTTTCAACACATCCATAGGCCTGTGATCACAGGCCGACCAGGATCAATGAAAATCTTAAGTTGAAATGTTTGGGGTTTGGGAATACCCTGGACAGTTCACCGTCTCGGGCATATGTAGCGAGACGTTAATCCATTTGTAGTTTTTTTCATGGAGATGAAACTACAGAATTGCCGCATGGAGAAGATTCACGAGTCTGGTGGTTTTGTGTATGGAGTAGAGGTTGAAGCTCAGGGAACTAGGGGAGGTCTTTGCCTAGCGTGGCGTTCGACTTGTGATGTGGTCCTTCATTCTTTTTCTGATTCTCATACTGATGTAACTTTTAACGTGGATTCTGATGGGTATTTTTGGAGGTTGACAGGTTTATACGGGGCTCCTCAAGAGATTTGACGCGGGGAGTCTTGGAATTTGCTTCGTCTCCTCAATGATAGTCCATATAATCCCTTGTGTGTTGTGGGCGATTTCAACGAGATTCTTTACTCATTTGAAAACAATGGCGGAGGTCTGAGGAACGAAGGACTAATAGGGGCTTTTAGGGAGGCTTTGGATGCTTGTAATTTGGATGATGTTGGGTATAATGGCATTTGGTATACATGGGAACGTGGCAGGAGCAGTGCAACTAATATTCGTGAGAAATTGGACAGAGGGGTGGCGAATGATGGATGAAAGAATTTATTTTCAAAGTATTCGCTCCAACAATTAATTATTCTATTTCGGATAATTTTCCTATTCTTCTGTACACGATGTTTCATGGGGATACGAAGAGAAGATGACACTTTCATTTTGAGACTTCGTGGTGTCGAAAGTCATTTTCGTCCGAGTTTATGCATTTATATTATTATTAAATTTATTACAGGAAGCACAAATGCAAAACAAATCAAGGCTCATTTACAAATCAGAATTTGGAGCCCATTTTACAAGTCCAAACCCGAGACAAGCCCAGATAACCCATTAGGCCCAATACTCGTTTAAGGTTTTCTGCTAGGGTTTCCTACACAGCTCCAGCCGCCAGCATTCTCAACCGTCCAATCAAGAGGAAGATCCAAGGGCCCAAATTCATCCAGTAGAAACCCTAGGGTTTCATTACAACCCTAGGGCTATTTGGGCCGCCACCTCCAAGTTCTCCACTCCGATGTTGTCACGACACCACGGCCTCACCACCGGATCTAGAAGATCTGGGTGCATTTAAATGCACCCAGCAAGATAGTCACACACATCATCGACCCTAGGGTGAGTCACCATCGTAGCTCTGGTGACTCACCGGGGTTCCCTATTTTAACCGATCCATAGAGTGGTTCGAAGAACCCTATATAAACCCATCAAACCTGCAAAGGAGAAAAAAACAGCAAGCAACAAAGAAACACAACAACCAATCCACGAAAAAAATCTAGAAAAATATAGAGAAGAGATCGAGAGAATCTTACCGTTGTCGGAGCTTCCACGCATCATTAGAGAAGTAGAAACATCGAAGGTAAAAAAAATAGATCTATGTTGATCTATGGGTTTTTAGAAGGAAAGGTCGCCGGATTCGGCTTTAGGACGGAGAGAGCTTCGATTCGGGGATTTTTTCTAAACTTCGGCCACTGTAAACGGTGACCGGCGGTAGCTGTCGACACCGGTAATAGGAGACCGTCGGTGGCTGGCTATCCCTCCGGTGGGGAGTTTTAGAGAGAGGCGAGAGAGAAATTTTATTTATCTCTCTTAGAGAGATAGTGAAATTGAGAAAATGATAAGCTTAAGGCCTTTAGGATCGGATTTTGGGGATTTATACCCCTTCCCAAATGACACCATTTTGGGGAGGAACCTCTGTGTAATTTGTGAATGGGCAAATCTCCTCATTGATTCATGTATGTTGTATTTTTTACAATTTATTCACTGGAATTATGTTTCCGTGCTTTCTAATTTGATATTCGTATTTTATTTCATTTCATTCATTAATCGCATGTATTTATATATTTAGGGTAAATATCATATTTAGTCCATATATTTTAATAATTTATATTTTAATCCCATATACTTATTTATGGTTAAATTACACTTTTAATACCTAAAATTTTGATATTTTCATATTTTAATCATTAAATTTATTATATGTATTTTGGTTAAATTATTTTATACAATGAATCATAAAAATATTTCCTTATTTTATTAGGAAAGTATTTTAAATTATTTGTTGGTATAAAATAATATCCCTAATGTTTTTTATGGGATCAAAAATTAAATTAAATCCAAATTTATAAATTTTACTGCAAATACATTAATTAATAAACAAAGGTACCAATTTTAGACATTGTGAGGGTGATAATCTTTCCCCACACGTAACCGACTCCTGAACTCATTTTATGGTAAGCTGACCCTTTTTGTGTTGTTTTAATATTATTTTTATAAATTTTATTAAAATAACATAGCATTTTTGGTGGCCAATAACACCTCGATAAATGATTGGTGGCGACTCCTCAAATTTGTGTTTTATCTTATGTAAGAAGAAAAACACTTACTTTTTCGAGACGAGATTTAGAAAATAACGACACTTGTTTTCGCCAGGCAAATACCGTCTAGATAGCTTGGTAACTCCACTGGGGATTTAGTTTTTTTAGAGAGTCGAGCCACTAGTTTATTAATTAATTGTTTTTGCAATAAAATTATAAATTTGTTTTAATTTAGTTTTTTTATCCCTTGATTATTTTTCTTTGTATAAATAGTTGGACTAACTTGTTTGTTATTATTTTCAGATTTAATTACGTGTCTTTGGATTTTAAGAATGAATTTGTGTGTTGTACATTGTTTTTTTTCTTTTTATGTTTTTCCTCACACACTATGCACTATATTATCATAACATGAGCTAAAACCCCGCTCTATCCTATTTAGCATGAATGGGAAACTACTCCCTCGTGTGGTTTTCACCTCCGTATGGGATAGGGGACCATTCTTTGAGCTCACACCTTATGTTCCTCGTGTGGTTTTCACTTCTGTATAGACATAAGGAAGTGTGTTCCTTCGAATTGAACTCAATCCGAAAGCCTGTAATGGGCAAGGATTGAGGGTTTGACAGCCCAAGGGGGCACCAACAAGGACAATTCGAAGACCTTTTTACCTTAGAGCCAAATCGAGCATATAATAAACCTAGAACTTGAGTCTAGGCAGAGCCTAAACCAAAATATTCTCGTAAGGTTAGCACACAAGGAAAAGCTTGTTGAGTTTTTTTAATTTACTTAGCATTACTTTATTTTCTGAATAAATGTATGCGAACTAGAAATCATGCGGTTAGGTTTATCTTTCCAAACAAGCATGTGAACTAGATTGCATGAAGTTAGGATTTTTTATTGACTACTTATTATTGGTTGATTTTTATATTACTTTTCATTTTGTATTACATTTTTCATACCATAGTGTTGATTCATGGTTGATGTCCATATAGAAAGCTGGAAATATGGAACGAAAAGTCCAACATGAAGTTGAAGACAATGCAGTGGTTCTAAGATGGTCTGAGCAATCTCAACTTATCAATGGAGATAGTCTA